TGATCATAGTTGTTGTATTGCATGCTCATCCACAACTTTGACCGCTTTTGAAGTCAAATATTTATAGAAACACTGATTTTTTTCAACTGAGAAGACTCACTGCACAGCTTACAAGCTTTCATAGGAAGTAATAATCATGATTCAACCAGACTCATGTTGAACAGCCACCTGCTGAGACTGTGTTGGGGATAGAGGGAGAGACAAGCTCCAATGCCAGTGATAATGGTAAAAGTAGTATTAGCATTAACAACGATGTATGATAATAGACTGATCATTCTAACATTAAAATTTACAACTAAGTTGGGGATCAGCCCACGGACTCTTCGACATGTGACTTCAGGAGCTGGGGATCGAACCTCCAACCTTTCAGTCGAGAGTAGACCCACTCTAACACTGATCCGCAGCCGCCCCATGTGATAAATTATACTTATGGAGGCCTACAAAAATCTATTGGATACTGCATGTTTATCGAAGCAACATGAGATATATCCAACATTGCACTGTGCAGAGCAATCATCCATTAGCGTGTGAATAACAATTCAGTAAGCAGCTAAGCACATTCAAATGAGCTGGTCCTGCGGTACATGAGCAGACAGGCTCCGGGTGTGAGTTGGCTGGATGTATGGTTGTTGACATCTTCCATGACTCATAGCCCAGCCTGTCAAAATGTCAACGGGTGTGATGACATTGTTCAGATATGATTTTATTCAGGATTTGTAGTTGTCACAGAAGCTGGGGGTAAATGGTTTGAATGTTGCCAAATGTCATCATGTAATGATATAGTATAAAAACACATTACTGTTTGGATCATTATTTGTTCAAGTTACACCAAAAACTATGACTACAGGAGTCACTTCATTGCTTAATAACATTATTTTTCTAGAATAATACACTTTTAGGTCACAATATTAATAATGACTTGGCTGTTCTGCCTCATTTATATTTTATTAACATTTATTCTTCTGCAGTTTTACTTCTCCCTATAGACCTCATTAGGGAGGATCTTCATCTTTACTTACTTCACTAAACTATTTTCTTTTTTGCTTAAACACTTTATGCATAAATTTAAAAAATTACTCATGGGTGAGGCCAAAGGAACTATGCCTTTACTACACACTCAAACACACACATGAACATCTCACTTCGTTTTAAACACTTAAAAATTGCCTTGTGATTCAAGTGGACTTGGACTTTTGTTGACCATGATTTACTCCAGGTTCTCTCTGGATTACTTAATTATAGTGTTAAATATTTTTTTAATTGAACAGTTTAACATGGAAATCTCATTATTGAGTAGTGCTCATAATAATTAGCGCTCACCTGCTTGGCTGTTAATGAGGGCATTTCAAACCCTGTATTGCACAATAAATCACAGCTGAATCCTCTTTATTGGCCATTTCTATCCTGTGCAGGCCTTCTGGGTCCTATTGAGGGTTCTATTGAGAAAGATAAAGCACCAAGCTGCTATGTAGCATTACTGTTTGGCATATAGAGTACGAGCCTCCTGTCATCCTGCTTGATGAATGCATGAACAACACAGCCGCTTTGTAATGACACCTGCATGGATCATGTGGAAGCACACTTTCCCCCTTTTCACTGCCCATTCTCCTCTGTTGTTTTAATCTTCTTAAAATACAACTATAATAGGCTGAAGCTGTGCTAGCAGCTCTGTGTGACTGTGCTTTCAACTAAATGCAAATGTAGGAATGCCAATGTGCTTTCAAGTACAAAGCAAACACGGTGAAGTAAAGTAGCTTATGTACTGCTTAACAAGTTCACTATTTGCTGAGGGTTTTCAAAGTATGGCTAGCCTACCATTCTCACAATGACAATGCTAACATAAATATTCTAACATGCTAATAATGCTATCATGTTGAAGTATGGTAACTAATGAATTCCCCAATTCCAGTTTGTAAGTAAATAGGCCTATAACCTATTCATTCTAATAATGGCTATGCTAACATTCTGAAGTATAGTGTGCAGTGTTAATGAAGTTCAACATAGCATACAGAGATAGCATTAGCACTATGACCAACTATGACATGGCAAATATTTTGAAGTAATATTGATTTTTTTTTTTACAACACCATCTTTGTATGTTAGCTTGCTAACATGTTCTCATTGAAACGTCTAACATTCTGAAGTCTTGCAGATATTGTTAACATATTCAACATCACAGCATTGAGGTTAGCATGCTAATTGCTAATGTTTTCGAGATACAAAAAAAAGTAGGCCTACAGATAAGTAAATGGCCTGTGTTCAACTTTGCAGGTATTTGACCAAAGTATTGGACATGTAAAATATTTGCCTTAACTTTATGAAAAGTATGGGGATGTTTCTCTTCTTCTGAGAACAACTTATAACCTTTTGGCTAGAGGCTGGAAGACAGGGGAAAATGAAATGGCAAACCATGACATATTTAACTCATAGACTACATGTTGGCTCTCAAAAGTAAGGGATTGAAAAACATTATCTTATTTGTGTGAACTTTGCCTCGGATCTTGTGCTTACAGACTTACAGTAAACTAATTTGCTCCTCAAAGAGAGACTAAAACTGTCCATTTTATAACCCTAATATCAGACAGTGATAGATAAACAAGGCACATGAGTGTGTTTGACCACAAATGGCCACACACCGACTCCCCTATTGTTCTTGGACTGTCATCAAAGTCTCTCCGTAGTTCGGAGCCAAACATTAAGCTTGTCCCCACCAGAGATCAAAGTCCAGCGTAGCTTTTATGTATCCCTCTGCATTGTGCTCAACCTTTATCACTCTTCTTTTGTTCATACATGTAATGGTTGTGATGAAAGTACAGCTTGTGTTCCTGCAGACAGGGACCGATCTGACAGAGTCGTGCTCACAGATCCTGTCTGAACGCATTGAGCTTTTCCTATCAAATCCCCCTCTTCTCTGTCTGTGAGCTTCTATATATCTTCATGGCTCACTAAATTAGTAATCAGTCCGGGAGCTGTGGCAGTAAAGTCACACATATACGTACACAGCATCACACGTGAGTGCACATGCATTCATGGACACACACACACACACACACACACACACACACACACACACACACACACACACACACACATTGTTCCGAACATGGGACTTGTATAATTTAGTGCTTCAGTGCTTTTGATATCTAGTGGCTGGATCACCTGGAGACAACAGAGGAAACTGCAGAGCACTGCTGTCCTGCTACTGCTGCTGCTACACAAAATATGTGATATTCTATCATTCACACAAAGGACTGGGTTCACTGGTTGCTCTGAATCATTACCTTTCAGTTTTATGTTTTGACCAGCTATTATTTCACTTACCATTACGGGACTTGTCTGCAGTAACAAAGATGGATGTCAGTAACAGGCCATGTAAAGGCATGAGAAGCTCAGGCGAGAGAGCAGATTTATAGAGCACCATATTCTCATTTTGCTCGCAGCTGTTGCAGTTTCTGGGCCTGTGCTTTCCAAGACATGATTGAATTTGAATGTACTTTGCCATACATAAAGGTCAGCTCTTGTTGTGAAAACACCCAATGTAAACATTTTTGTCCTAATTTATTTCCAAGCATCCACAGAGGACTATAGAGACAGGAAAAGCATCCACAGAGGACTACATAAACAAAGAATGCATGGCAGCCCTCTCCAAAGGGCAGCACATGGGTCACTTTATAACTTTGTTTTCTACGATTCGCTCTGGGGAAGAACAAATTGCACCACAAGGAAGCCAAACAAGAAATCATGCAATGTGCAAAAACAGAAGATGCTAGCAGTTGTCAGTTTGAATGTTCTGAGCCGTGGTGAGCCAAGCCGACAGAGTTTGAACTCTGTCGGTGCACATGTCAGCTCATCCCAATTCATTCAGTTTGTTACGGAGACAGAAGAAGTTGCAGATCAAGATATACACATTCATGCACAACCTAGTTTCATGCAAAGTTTGGGGTTAAAAGTAAAAGATGGAAATCTAGATTTGAGTCCTGTCCTTACAAATACGCTCACACAAACACTTGCAGATGTTTGTGCAGTAATTACATTGTTTCTTGTTTCCCAGCAGCTGTTTTCTTACAAACTTTAATCCTGATTACGTACAACCACTGGAATAATAATCAATTTTTCAAAAGATTTACATCCTCTTCTAGCACTTGAGAGAAAACCACAAAAACGATCGATCCAGGTCTCTCCTTTAACCAGTTATCCTCAACTGGGGCTGTAGTACCCATGGGAGGCTGGCTGCGAAGCAGTGAAGGCTGAATTAATTATTGAAGAGTAAGAAAATCTGACTCAGGGTTTGTCAGCCTCTATGGCTGAACATGCTTTCTTTAACTTGTTTTAAATATGTTGCATTACACTTCGAAGAAAATGTGAAATGTAGGGCAACATCGCAATTGAGATTACATAACTCCTGCCAGAGACTGGGGGAAGCCTCTTCTAGAAGGCGAAGAAAAAAATAGGGCACAATAAAGTGAATGAATCTGCAATCAAATGCAATAGAATACAGCAAACCTGCAATAAACACAGCTATGTGGAAACTGCTCGTTTCAAGAAGAAATACTATAGAGAAAGAATTGTGTACATACTATAGTGGGAATAGGCTTTACAACTTTTGTTATTTATGTTTTCTTTTTTGTATCCTTTCATTGTCGCCTGTATTTTCTTTAATCAAATGATTAGTGTCTAAACTTTTCTTTTATCTGATATAGGAGAATTTCGCCTGTTGGGGATCAATACGTTCATCTCTCTTCATCTTATTGTGATATCAACAGCAGCATCAAAAACACATACAGAGCGGAACAAACTTTTCAGTCAATTAAAAAAACAAACATTAAAGCAGCTTCGTGATGCTTAGTCAACCCCTGCACCTACATCATCTGTCCTGTCCTCAGGCACAGGCCACATGGCATTTAAAACAAACACCCCTCCCACTGGTCTCTTAAATCTATTAAATGATCACCTGAATGGACCGTGACACTAACTAGATTACTAATTCACTTTCCGCAAAATGTCGACATTGTGCATGCATCAAACCTCACTCAGGACACCCTCTTTGCAGGTCTAATGAGTCATGACATAAACCGAGCCTGAAGCCCTCCTCCCACGCGCCTCGCGCCCACTCCTCGCTTTATTAGAGGCGCTCCTCGGCACCAGTCTTCAGAGCAGCTCGAGCCCTAGTCAGCGCACCTCTCTCGTGCCACTACAGAGTGGACGGGAGTCGGTGCTTTTCGCGCTTCCCTCTGGGATTTACCGCTCATCTCGCCAAGATGAGACTTGTTTTTGTGTTTGCCGCGGTTCTTGGTCTCTTGACAGGTAGGTTGAAAAAGTCTTGCAGGGTGTTTCAAGTTGGAAGGCGCAGTTCAGCACCATGGACAGAGACACCGTCTACTATTTCACTTTTATTCATGCGATCTGTTTCCTCGTGCAATTTGACTAAATGATACTTTTCTTTCTCTTAAAGAAAATCTAGCGCTTCCAGTTGGAAAAGAGGGGCAAAGAGAAGATGTGGTATGCTTTTTTTTTTTTAATGCAGTTTAATATTAAGTTTAAAACAACAGCTATGCAGGAATTGAAAGCAACAAAAGTCGATACATTAGGTCCTTTGTTTATTTCAGGTAACACGATGCCTGGTCGAAGTCCTCTCCAAAGCTCTCTCCAAGCCGGACTCCCAGCTGGATCAGGACTGCAAAGACATCATCCAAGCAGGTTGATAGCACGAGCAGATTTTTCACTGGCATGGAGCATTGGGGATGTTGTTGATGCAGAATTTTGAGTTGTAAATTTGTGCAGACATCGAGTTGATTCACATATTTAAAGAAATGTAATGTTTTCTCAGCCTGCTAGTAAAATAACTAGCCTAGATGTAATAATAATGATTTAGATTTCTGTGAAATGTCTTCACAGAGAAGCCTTTATTTCTCCAAAGAATTATAGCTTCACTGAAACAAAATATCAAACAAATAACTGACTTGATCTATAAGCTGTATTTAATTAGAAAATCCATCATGAGCTGTCCATTAAAAGCTATTTATAATGGATCATTACAACTTCTTTGATAATTTCTCTTTTCTGTCACAGGGGTTAAACATGCCCCACTGGACAAGAAGATTGCCGAGGACGTCAAAGGTCAACCTGAGGTGCCTTTGGCAAAAGGAACGGATGTAAAAGAAATCGAGGCTCTCCTGAAAACCATGGACGAGAAAAGAGAAACCCCTGAAGATGAGCGCAGCCAAGAATCCTGGAGCTTTGGTGACGAGAAGGAGAAGAGACACGAGGATGTAGAAGAAGAAGAAGAAGAAGAAGAAACAGAGCGGGAGAAGAGGAGCGGCTGGAGGCCAAGGAGGTACCAGAGGAAACACAAACGAGGAGAAGAAGAAGAAGAAGAAGACGAAGACGAAGACGAAGAAACAGAGCGGGAGAAGAGGAGCGGCTGGAGGCCCCGGAGGTACCAGAGGAAACAAAAACGAGGAGAAGAAGAAGAAGAAGAAGAAGAAGAAGAAACAGAGCGGGAGAAGAGGAGCGGCTGGAGGCCCGGAGGTACCAGAGGAAACAAAAACGAGGAGAAGAAGAAGAAGAAGAAGAAGAAGAAAGAAACAGAGCGGGAGAAGAGGAGCGGCTGGAGGCCCCGGAGGTACCAGAGGAAACAAAAACGAGGAGAAGAAGAAGAGGATGATGGTGAGCGTAGTCAGGAGAGTTGGGGGTTGGAAAAGCGATCAGAAGATGAAGAAGAAGAAGGCGAAGACAAAGAGAAGAGGAACTGGAGGCCTGGAAGACACCACCAGAGGAAACACAAACGAGATGAAGAACCTGCCGGAGACGAAAGGGAGGAGCCAGAAGAGGAACGCAGCCAAGAGTCCTGGGATGTAGACAAAAGACACATTAACGAAGATGAGGAGGAGAGAGATAAGCGTAAATGGAGGCCCTTACATCGCTACTACAAGAAGAAGCTCGGCAAACGTGGAGACGAGGGCGAGGATGATGGAGAACGCAGCCAGGAATCATGGGGTCTCGACAAGAGGGACTGGAGAGCCGGTAGATTCCACCAAAGGAGACACAAACGTGATGAAGAGCTATCTGAAGAAGCACGAGAAGAGCCTGACGAAGAGCGCAGCCAGGAATCTTGGGGACTAGACAAGAGAGACTGGAGAGCCGGTAGATTCCACCAGAGAAGACACAAACGTGATGAAGAACTTTCAGAAGAAGCACGAGAGGAGCCTGAAGAAGAGCGCAGCCAAGAACACTGGGATTTCGATACTGGAAGAGACAAGAGAGAGTGGAGGGCCGGCAGGCACCACCAGAGGAGACACAAACGCGATGAAGACCTCTCTGAAGAAACCAGGGAAGTGCCCGATGAAGAACGCAGCCAGGAATATTGGGATTTTGACACCGGAAGAGATAAGAGAGAGTGGAGGGCTGGAAGGCACCACCAGAGGAGACACAAACGTGATGAAGAGCTATCTGAAGAAGCGCGAGAGGAGCCAGAAGAAGAGCGCAGCCAGGAATCTTGGGGACTAGACAAAAGACACGGAAAAGATGAGGAAGACGCACTGAGGTACTTTCATCATATCTTAGAATTTCTGCTTTTCAGAAATACTCATACTCATATACCCAGCAGCACAAAGAACTGGAGAGATTAAAAATACACGTGTCCAATAGACAGGGATCCAAACCCCAAACTTATACCAGAAATGACCAAAAGGCTTGAGCTTGCTGCATGTGTTGCTCAAAAGCGTCCGTTAGAACAGCGTCTAATTGAGTCTGTTTTTCAGGTATCTGGCAGAAAAGCGCAGTCCTTGGATTTTCAGAGGCTACTACCATCCTGCTTGGTTTAAAAGGGATTCTGATGAACACGCTGCCACCTCAAACAAGGTATGAATTGTGTGTTAACACAAAAAATGTATTTTAAAATTGTTGTAGCTGTAGTTTGTGGCTTAACGGCTTCACCTAAACATGCAGATTTAGTAAACATTTTGGCTTTAACTGCTTTTGTAAATTATTTATATTGCTTATTTCCTAGATTTTTCTTGCCTTTTGAAAGTGTTAGCACATTTGTGAATGGAATACTAAAATGCATTGACTAAACATCAATCCAGTTTCAATTCCATTGTAATTGTATTGTCATTAACTGAAATGTTTTAATTTGCATGTTGGCCTATACATTGCACAGTTTTTACATATGATTCTGCCTTTGATGTGTTCAGATGAATGAACTGGCCAAGTTGCTGAACTATAAGATAAACCAGCTGTCCAACCACTCCAACCAAGAGGAGGCAAAGAGGAGCATGCAGCAGAAAGCACTCACTGCACAGGAGGTAAAAAGTGCACTCACTCCCTGCACAAACACATAACATTTTACAGACAATGTGACAATGGGTTAACTGTTGTTTTCACTGTTAGACCTCAAACTAGACCACAAAACTAAAGTATAGAAATCCAGCTTTGTCTTCAATGAACGATGAAGTACTAAAGATACTTGTTCAGTAAATCAGAAACCAGGATTGAGGAAAAACTTGTAATTTAAGAATTTCATGCTGAAATCACAACCGTCTTCCCTAGAAGCTCGCCAGAATATGTTTATTTTTCACAAGTTACAGCTCTTTCCGTGCTGTAAAAAGACATTTGCTTGTGTTTCAAAACATATTTATTCAGTTGATCATGTCAGGCTGTGAAGCACATCCAGTGCCTCCAACAGTCCATGTCACTGGGGGGAAAAGAATCAGCCGTGCTCATTATAGAAATCTTTTGGACATGTCAGGAGTTTCGCCCTCAGAACTAGAAAGCATCAGTGAATATGCATCTGTGCAAATGCACATCAAGATCTTTTTACCCAAGAGCAACCCCCCGAATACAGAGAACATGCAACCAGTATATTCATAAGCAGTGACCCTTTCCTCAACTCTGCTGTACACAAGATTGTTTTTTGATTGCCTTGTTTTAATCAGTTTTATTACTTGTTCTCTCAGCTTGTTTGTCCGCTTGTTTATATTTGCACTTTTCATACTAGTTTTTTCTTCATGATTACCACCCCATAGAGCAATCAAATTCCTAATATTCCCATTAAAAAGAGAGCTATTGCCTTCAGATACCTCCTTATCTTGTAAAATACTTTGAAGCAGAAGGAAAAAAAAACAACTAATCAGAGTACGAGGAGGCGTTCTGCAGCACAACTCAAGGGATAATAAGGAAATGTTTAACCTAAATCATCTGCTAGGCATTTCACGAAAAGTTCAGAACAGGCTTTGGGGACACAGGCCGAAATGTGGACGGATAGTGTTTAGTTGCTGACATCTTTCATTTTCATGTTTTTCAGGAGAAAGAGCTGGAAAACCTTGCAGCGATGGACATGGAGCTGCAGAAAATCGCTGCTAAGTTGCATGACAACAGTGCATAATTCAGCGTTTCTTTTCATCACCAGTGGATAAACACTGCTGTCTAACTGTATGTCTGCCGTATAAGTGTGCTTACAGTGTTGAAAATGAAAAAAAAACAAGACAAAAGAACTCTGGAGCCTTGCCATTAACATTTGATCAACCTGTTTATCAATGTATTTGTGATATTTTGACGTCAACGAATTAATCCGCATGGGAATGGTTTTGATGTTTATACATATACATATATATATATATAGGAAGAGAATCTATTGAAATAATATATATCTGAGGCAAATTATTCTCAATATTGTCTTCTGAAGAGTTTGTTCAGTTTGCACTCAATAAAAGAAAACTATTCTGGGACCAAACCAATCGCTTTGAAATGATTTCTTGACGGAAACAAATGATCACACATCAGTCTCTCTTGTACTGCTTTTTTTAATTCTGTGCAGATACAGATGTAGTCCACACAAAGCACATGTAACAAATGCCGCTTCTTATGGGAATAACAAAATTTAAAAACAAAGTAATAACCTAGAAGCTGGAGAGGATTCACTTTGAAAAAAACATCTACACACCTGTTGGTAATGCATGAAACACAAACCTGCCACATACTCCAAACACAACAGATTCTTTTCGCAGTTCCTTTTATAACACACACAGCCTGGACTGGCTTACAGTTAACTCCCCAGCATTACCTACAGTCTGCACTGATCTGTATACACAAACCGGGTGTAAGTGTGCTGATGAACGCAAACTCGACACTCTGTCTACTTCATTCCAGATGTGTCAGATCAGATCTGGTAAATCAGAGAAGTGGATGCTGGAGGAGAAACCCCTGCAATGTGCCCTCTGAATATTCTTTACGCGTTTATCATTCTGTGTCTGTCAGTTTCGGTCTCTTGTGTGCTGGTTCCTCAGCTTGCTGGGAGCTTGCAGGTTTGGCGCGGTCCATGGCAGCTGTTGTTCCTGAGAGGACGTAGCCCCCGCCCCCGCTCATCAGCAGCACGGGATGTGTCCGGTTAGGCAACACCTAGAGACACACGGAGTCAGGAGACATTAATCCTACAAGAAGAGCTGGGGGAAATAACACTCTGTTCATGAGGAGGAAGATCTCTTTGAGTATGCAATGTAGCTGGTTTCAGGCAGTTAACCTCAGAGTTCAAAAAGTATATCACAAAAAAGAAATAAGAGCGGCCAGGGAGAGCAAAAAAGTGAGAGTCTGTGATAATACTTCAGGGCCGTTTAGAATGTGGAATATCTGTGACAAATTTCAACCAATAATGTGAGTAGAAATTACTCTTAAACATCTAATGCATTAAAATAAACATTAGGCATTTTCAAACCACAGGAACTTTGTCGTAGTTCTAGGAACTATTGGAACCCTCCCCCCCTTTTATTATTGATTCTGCACAGCAGCAACTATGAACTTCTTCAGTTCCTAGAAACTTGTTTAATTAAAGGAACCCTATTATTAGAGGCATTAAATAAATACATGTTATGTTTTGTTTTTCAATCGTTACACATTTTGGTACCAAATGTGATCCAAATGATAAATAAAATATTTTATTGGCGGGGGCGCTGGTGGTCCAGTGGTTAGTTCGCATGGCCCATGTATGGAGGCTGTAGCCCTCCAAGCGGGCGGCCCGATACAGTTAAAAGCAACTCAAACCACTGCAAGAACATGATGCAGTGCCGAGTGTCAAATGTTACCTGATAATGTCTGAGCCAGGTGTCTCTGAGGCTGATGTTGATTGCACCGCCTTGTTCCTTGAGTTTTGTGTAGCACTCAATCAGAGGCTGCCGAGATGAAGGTGGGAGACATGAACACAGAAACATTAGGCGGAGTCAGTGAGTCCACACAAACACATACACTGATCCTTTTAGAAGCATAAGCACAACTGAGCGTGTTTAGCTCTGGGACATGGCAGGCATTTCAACTCCTTGGCAGTGACAGGGATGTCGTTTGTAGTAATGTAATAAAAACATTGCCCAACGGACCCTAAAGCAATAAAAAAAAAAAACATTTGTGCTGTGGAATAAAAAAAATAAAAAACAAAGAGATCTTTATCTGAGGGATAATAATCCTCATTCATCGACAGTGCAGTTGTGTGGTAAATACCACTGATGATCTTACCTCTTTGTATTGGGAGTAGACTACAAAAGGGCGGGAGGGTGAGAGGAACTTCAGCAGGCCCATTAGCACTGCACACGGGTGAAAGCGACTGGCTATGACCAACCTGCATGAAGGAAACCAACAGATGATCCAGCAAACCTGTCTTTTATGAAACACATTGTAAAATACACACTGTTCTTGGACATGTATAGGCAGGCAGTGTAGAAATTTTGCTTATTAGGGTTTTTTTTGTGAGTTACGCCTTGTAGGCTCATGGATTTAGTACTTGTTATAGACATCCATTTCCTATTTTATGTAGCTGGATGAGAGTCAGTAAAAGAGGCTGATTTAGGACAGCATGGAAAACTGTGCTCTGAGGTTCTGTTTATGATATAGCTGCTATGGTGTGGTGAAGACTCTGAGGAAAGTCAATAGGCTAACAAGATCAATACTTCTAGCTTGCATGTCACCCTCGCAGCAAAGCTATAAAACTCACTCTTCATTTTATATGACAGGAAACTGCAGAGCAATCACATTGTTCACCTTGTCAGGGCTTTGTGTGCTGGTCATGGAGTGTGAGCTAGTAGGAAGGCACATTATTTATCACGCCCTATATTGACAGACTTAACAATACTTCATTATACTTGATTAATAATCATTAATCTGTTATTTTCATGCCTGTAGGTCTATTTTAAATGACTGTCGCTCATTACTCAGTGTGATCCAGAACTGATAAGGCAGAGGCGGAAGAAAGAGAGACGATGCTGAAATGAGCAAGACCGGTGCAGAGAAGCAGAAACTAAAATCTTGACACCAACCCGTCAGCGTTCCTGCCTTCCAGCAGGGCAGCAACGGATAACAGCTTCTTCCGTTTCTCTTCCAGCTTCACCTTTCTTTCCTGAGCCTACAAAAACCATAAAAGGCCAAACATTGTCTACCTCTTTCAGATCCAATGTTGATATTACAAACTTATTTGTGTTAACTGCAAATACGCAGACATGAAAACAAAAATTAAATCATGTCTACAGTGAGGTTAGTAAATAGTGGACGTACTTTGGCTTCTCGACGTTTCTCCTGCTCATCTTTCTCTTTGTCATCGACTGCAGCAGCAGCAGCAGCACTGTTTGTCTCCATGCTCTGCTCCTCTGGATTCCCCTGCTGCTCTCCCTGAGGCTGGTTTTTTGTCTCCTCTGCAGCCAGGTTGGGCTGCTTTGGATCTGTGATGTTACAGAAAGAAAAAAATATTAATTAGAGGACTGCTGCAGAATGAAAATCAGAGGAAAGCATACAAATCAAATTCTAAAGTTTTAAGCAGGAGTTTGTTTGTTTTTATAAAACAAATTCTTCCCCTACCAGCGCAGCTCGGATCTTTGACAGTGGTGGCCAGAGTTCCTGCCAGCAGAGCGTTGACACGGCAGATGGGAAAATCATGCAGCATATCGTGGAAATGTGTAGGGAAGCCAAAGCTCTCCACACCAGCGCGGAGGGGCTCCCCACCTGGGTACATTTGGATCACTGAGCCGTAGCCTGGATAAGAAGGAAAAATGGAGCATTTATACAAAAGGGCAAAGCAAATGCTTAAAATAAAGAAAACAAATTCTCTGTACAGACTCGAGTTAAATTTGTTTGGTCAAGTTCACAGGACTGACTGACCCCCCATTCTTTCCATGACGGCTCCAAGCACAAGGCCAGCACATGTCTCAAACACCAACACTTTACTGTTAGCGTGGATGTTCGCCAGAGTCAGCATCTGGGCGAGCGTGTCATAGCGCAGGTGGCTGAAACGCATGAAAACACACACACACACACACTTTCATCACGTTCTGCGCCGTAAACGAAATTTCTCACACATTCTGTCAAACCACTTGCTGACTCACCAGATCTTCCCTGGTTCCCGGCCATGGTACATCATAGCCAAGATGCGACAGGACGGCTTAAGAATCGTCACAGTGTTTTCATACCTGGAGAAAAAACAAGACAGGAACAGGTGATAACACTAATTACGGCACACTGTGTCATTTTGATTCCAGAAACAGAATGCATGTGTCATCAGAAGTGACTCACTTCTTCTTTTTCTTCTTGATGTACTTATCCTGGGCATATTCAGTCTTATCTCGGAATGTAGAGCTGTTGTCTATAAGCTGCTGAATGATTTCCTGCAAAGCACACGAACATGCAGCCTCAAGAATCTCTCTCATTGCACTTCCAACGTTTTTATCTCACCATTTAAAAAGATAAAGGTCCCCATGACAAGACAAAACCAAATATTACATCATTGGCACATTTCTCTCTGTTACTTTATTTCCCTATCCTGACTGTGGCACTCTGATCCAAGCCCCCTGCTTCCAACATCATTTGGAAATCTTTATTGATTTGTTGGACTGATAATTACCGTATTTTCCGCACTATAAGGCGCACTTAAAAGCCTTTAATTTTCTCAAAAAACGACAGTGCGCCTTATAATCCGGAGCGCCTTATATATGGATCAATTGGTTAATTGGTTGATCCATACTGGTTGTACACGGCGCTCAGCGACACTGACTCGGATAATGACGAGAGGGAGCCGGGCATGTTGGATGCCGTACTCGCCCAACTGTTCAATTCGGACACTGAAGAAGAAGAATTCGAGGGATTCGTGGACGGGGAATGAACTGAAAAAGTGAGCTTTACGTGTTATAAGTAACTGAACAATGTTGAGTTATGCACTAACGTTTGAATTAGCGGTATCAGACTGTGTTTCTTTTACGTGTTTACAACTGAACTAGGCTGGGAGATATTGTGAATATGCACATTAACGTTTGAACAACGTTGAGTTATTGTGAATGCACATATTTATATATTCACAATATCTCCCAGCCTTGTTCAGTTGTAAACACGTTCTATTCTATGCGCCTAATAATCCGGTGCGCCCTATATATGAAAACAGTTCTAAAATAGGCCATTCATTGAAGGTGCGCCTTATAATCCGGTGCGCCTTATAGTGCGGAAAATACGGTATGCAAAATAGATGTGTTTACATAAATAATAATAATTTCAAGGACTTTACTAAGCTATGGTTAAAACACATCTATACCATGACAGACTGTTGATTCCTCTTTACTTTGACTTGCTACCAAATCAGACTTCTCACATTGTTGGTTTTGACTCATATGGATTTTGATAACAACAAAAACATAATAAGCAGATCCAGCATTCGGCTGTAGAATGATATTTTCCCACGTTTGTGTGTAATGAATAGGTTACTGGTACCTGACCCTTCAGACCCTTCTCTTTGAGTGCTTCTATATCATCTCTGGTCAGTTTCTGCGATTTCCCATCATCTTTAATGTTTCTGTTGTCTGTGCCCACCTCCTTTGCATCTGGGAAGAACCAATAAAGCACCATTCAAAAGTGAAAGGACAACATCTGATAGTACTGCTTCCTCCAAAGTTCATTCCGTAAACAAACACAACTTATTCATCACATAGCAAAACGTGACATGGGCATGAAAAGTATCAAACATGAATCTGACAGTGTGTGTGTGTGTGTGTGTGTGTGTGTGTGTGTGTGTGTGTGTGTGTGTGTGTGTGTGTGTGTGTGTGTGTGTGTGTGTGTGTGTGTGTGTGTGTGTGTGTGTGTGTGTGTGTGTGTGTGTGTGTGTGTGTGTGTGTGTGTGTGTGTGTGTGTGTGTGTGTGTGTGTGTGTGTGTGTGGTAACACACCGGTAGAGCTCGCGGGGTCCTTGGGCTTCTGCAGCTTCAGAACACCTGACACGATCTCAAACGTGGCGCTGTACAAGTTACCCACAGCATTATCCAAGAAGAACCACTGCTTCTCAAAAATCACCTTCCTGTGTGACAGGCAGACACAACAAACAAAGTAATAACATTAACAAAATGTTACCTTAAAAAAAAAAAGCGTTTCATTAGTGTTTACACAGTTTGTGTTAAGATGCTTGTTGATGCAGTTTTAACTAATTCTTCATCTCGGGCTCCCATAGACTTAAGACACATATGCAATCTGTGCTTCTGTGTAGCTAGTTAATAATTTGTACACATGAAGACTTACTTCTTCGGTTGAATTTGCACCGCTTTGAAGATATCTCCTCGTTTCAGCACAACGTAGTCACCCTGTTTGATTCTGTACGCAGAGTCATCATCTCCGCTGTCCTCCATAACAAGACTGATAGCTCACCGGAAACCTAAAAGCTGACTGTCACCTGAAGACTAGTGTACGGTGTCTCTGTCTGTCAAGGCACGGTTCAAAAAAAGGCACTAAATCACCCTGACGTAAAAGCAAAACACGGCAAATGACTATTCCCACGTGTTAGCTTTCACTTCCTTAGCTCCTCAGGAAGACTAAACGACTCCAGATTTTGTAGCGCGGGCTGTGCTTCAGCGTACTTTGTTGTGATTGGCTAGAATATGTATCGCTGTTCTCACCAGCCAATAGCCGCGAATTGCGATGACTAGGCTGAAACGTAGATATACGAATCATCGATGAAAGGGAAACTATCGTTAGAGACCGCAAGGAAAGCCGGCATCAACGAGCTTTATCCATTCATGTAAATGAAAAAATAAGTCCTACTGTTTAAAAACAATATAATATGTAAGGTAAATTATGGTAGCCTACTTATTTCCTAATCGTATTGGTGGCATATCATTTATCTTTTAGTATGGCAAGTGACCACATCAATTGGAAACTGATATCACTGTAACAAACATTTGATGAACAATGAAGTCCCTGAAGTTTACTTTAAAATGATTCATTTAATGTATCCAACAAGTTGATTTCTAAAAAAAAAGTATATAAAAATGATATTTTAGAATCTTGTATGTTTTGTAAAACGTGTGTAAAGACTTTTCTTCATTTAGTCTATAAATACAGCAATACAATACTTTATTGTCCCCCAGGGGGACATTTGTTTTCACAGCTTTGCACGGTTGTTACATGAAGAAAAACATATAACAACAGGTAGAAACTCATAATAATGAAGGGGCCAGTCATCGTGGATGCTTGTTTAGGGCTTCAATCGCTGAGGGGACAAAACTCTGATACATGTTGAAATGTATCTATGTTGTGTTTTTCTGGATTGATTCCTCCTTGATACACGATGTCCAGGGCATGTAAGCTTTTACAAAGGGAAAGGAAGGTTAAAGACATCACCATTGTCCAGGACAGACATATACTGTAAGTGGCAGAAACAAGTCTTATTTTAGTTTCAAAACAAATGCAGGATTTGATTCTGAGATAAAAACCCAGTTTCAGTCTAAGTGTTTTTATCAGCAGCTGAATCTGAGGTGTTAAAAGTCGAAACAGACTCAATCTGTTTACCCTGAGAAGTGGTGATTGAAGACAGGTTCAGTGGTTTAGATTTTTGCATTTTCAAACAAGATGCAAAATGTTATGATTGTGAAGTTAAATCATACTGACCTCATTTATTTAAAGTGTAGACTATTAACTTTTACATTGGATGACACATTCCTGAACACCATTCTGGATTTTAGCTTGATTTTATGCACATTTATTAAAAAACAAAAAAGCCTTTAATAAACATGGTAGCTGACAATGCTGGATTACACTCCCACACAATTACCATTTTTTTAGTGTATAATATAGCACATGTGTAACTACGTCATCATCCAGCCTGGTGGGTGCATTTTATTTCCCAGCATGGGGCCCCAATCTGGCGTTTTATAACTGCTTTTTAATCGGTCTGCCAACTCCACCTGCCCACCACTAGTGCACAGCAGTGTAGCAGTGAGGTGGCTGAAAGAGCAGGAGAGAGCTTCCTACACTGCTCAGGAAAAAAACAGGATCTTGTTGAATTGGAATAAATGTTGCAACCTGGGAGACAACTTGAGTAAGTGGAAAGTCTCAACTAACTTTCAACTGAACCAACTGCATTTAGACAGCAAGTCTTATTCACAACAGTCCCAACCAAAAGACCTTATGGAAGTTATTGTAGCAAGTCTTGGTGACTTCAGTCCAATTTATACGATTTATGAACAATATCTGATTACCAGAGTGTTAAGCTGTTGCATTACATTTTGTGTAACAGTGGATTAAAAATTCATAACATTTTATGGAACTTGTGTCATGCAAACACCTAAAATAACAGCTTCTGCCCCCATGTGGGTAAAATACAACAACAATGTGTCAGAACCTGACATTCAATGTGAAAAACTTGAAATTCTTGAATTTAAAAAGGTGAAACACATATGAAACCCTTTAATGTTCTTTACAATAGTTTTTATTCTGTTAGACCAGAAAACATCTTACATATATTGGTTCATCCAAGTTTGAGAGAAAAACAGTCCTTGACGAAATATTTACATTAAAACCATTATTTTTCCTAGTGCATGGTACATTGAAATAGTGGATTACAGCAGGGTATATGACAATGTGGAATTTCTCTGACTGTGTTACAGTTTACATTTTCTTTTACTGTTTTCTGTTCAGTATCCATGGTGACCAGGGCTACAACACAGATACATTTAGTCATTTCACATTGTAACAGGTGGGAACGGCTTAAAGCTTTGCTCATTCTTGGCCTCCAGTAAGTTTATGGAACAAATCTTCGTCAAGTGTCTCGTTCTGGTCTTTCGATCTTGTGGAGAGGAAGATGTAACCACCAATGAACTCATGCACCACCTTGCAGTCGCAGCTCAAACAGCAGAAGGCTATAGACACATTCTGATCGAACTCTATGGTCACCTGGACAAACACACAAAAGATGCATATTAGTGAAGTAACACTGTCTGTAGGCAATACCATAAAATACTGACCACAACAATCCTTCACCTGTCTAATCTCCCAGTTGACGTTCCACTGCTTCATGTTGGAGAACCTCCAGGTGGTGACAGGCAGACCAGAGGACATGTCAATACGAATCAGACGGTTGTATGAGATCCCCAGAATCTCGTCCTTCTTACCGCCTTTGAACCTAAAACACAAGTGAAAGGATAATCTCTTCAATAATCCTAAAGGGATTCCATTTGTACGTTCAAATACATCACCAGTTGTATTTTACTTAAATATAAGCACTGTACCTCACAATGTAGTAGTTGATACCAAACTCCGGAAGTGACTGCCAGGCCTGGATAAACCGCATCTTGGCCTCCATCAGTGACAGCCGTGCAATGTTCTGATGGGCCTCCAGGATACGTGCTGTTAGCTTGAAACAATAACCAGAGGCAAACATTAATCAAACATATCAAGTAACAACAGTGATGTAACATTGATGGCTGTTGGCAAAGTCAAGTAAATTGGCTGTGGCCTTTCAAAAGACCTGTTTGGTCTTGTGCTTCTTGGCGTAGCGTGGAGAAACGAAACATTCAGCATTCATCTCCATAGCTTCAATGTCAGGAGCTGCCTGACCAGGAGGGGGCGCCAGGCTCTTCATTTGCAAAAAGGACTGGATGTTCTTCACTTCTGACTTGTAGGAGCTGTAGGCCATTGTCTTGCCTTTTGAGGCCAGAATACACGCAGCTTTCCATTTAGCATACTGTGTTTCCTGCAGAAAGGGACAATCACCTGACAGTTACAATATCAGCACAATACGTAAGGAAGAACTGCTGCTTATCTTAGGACAATGTTAGTAATGTCTGTGGAGGAATAGTGGAGTCTTACATTGTCACATCGGATGTACACCTCATTCATACCATCAGCAACTGGGAGCAGGAGCTTAATGCCGAACTTCTTGTCTGTCACGTTGACATCAGGGACCACCTCACAGCCTGCCAAATCAAGAGATAGTAGTTTTGAGTGCTGAAGAAATGAGGTATGGAGGTAGGTGCAGGGGATCTACTTCTTTTTTTCAGAATAAAAATGCAGCTTGCAGTAGCAGCGAGAATAAAACTGAATTTTAATGCTGCCTTTGCTATTTAATATTTAAATTTATTTATATATATATATATATATATATATATATATATATATATAATTATGCAGTATATATCCTGAAGCAGCAGTAATGAGTCTGTGTTAACCACAAAATATGTATTTTTTTTATGCATATAAAAACAATAAATACTGAGAACATTTCCGTTCTCTGTTTTCCAGCCTTTATGGGTTATTATTTAACTGCAGTGGGGATACTAAAAGACATGCTCGTACATCATGGGAAATCCTAAAATGAGGGTAATTAATCTTCAACATAACAGCATGCATAACAGATTTTCACATGATGGTTTTTGCACTGACCTCGGAGGTGAAACTGCTCCAAGGGTTCTCCACTGGAGGTTTCTTTGTTTTTGTAGTAGGATATGGTTGTGTCCTTGAAAACAAACCAGTACTCTTTGTACGGCCGCAGTGTTAGTCTTTTGGGCCTGATTTCAGACACACAAAAAGAGCAAGATATGTTTTTTTGTTTTTTTTACCTGGGATACAGTTTATGACCATATCTGAGAAAATCACAGATGACTTTACACAAAACATCATGACTGCTTTGGAAGGTGTAAAATATGTTTTTCTTAATAACACAGGCTTCTTATCCAGATCAGTGAGCAGCTCAATAACAGGTTGTTTCCTTCAATCAATTATTCAACAAAAATTGATTTAGACCCAGAAATAATTACAGGCGAAATAATAGACATAATCAATTCATATAGGGAATATTTTACCCTCATAAATCTCCCTATGACTGGTCCAATCTGAGCTCCTTAATAAGGTGGATCAAAGTGCTCTGGACAGTTGAAGGTGGATTTTGGTGACAGGTTTATGAGGTGTCACTTCAGTTGTGAACAATAGAATCTTATATACAAGCTGAATAAAGGTGGGCTTACCTGAACAGGCGGAGGGAATCTGCCAGCTCTGGAATGTCTGTAATGTCTTCCTGAGGGCGGGACAAACAACTGTCAATTATGGTGTGTCTTCTCCTGACATCACCATGTTAAGACATGCAATCATCAGAGGCCTACCTATCACTCCTGCTTTGAAAAACAGGTGTTCTACTGTAACAGACCTGAAAACCTCCAAATTACAGTCAATATTCACTCCAGTGTCTTAAAAAATATGTTTACCAGAATTCTGTCTGTGAGTCCACCTTCAAGTGTCACCTCCAGGTTGGACAAGGCGGCCTCTACTTCATCTATTTCTGGTTCATTGGAGCGGTCCAGAGGTTCACTTGACATCGTCAGTTTACAAATGTGATACTAAAACAAAACAAAGTAAGAAATAACTTCAGCAAGTGCGAGTCATTATGAAGGTTATGCAAGGCTGGCATGAGTCAGAGGGAGGTTTGAGTACAGCCTTGTGTGCCAGCCATTGCACCAGTGTGTAGGTGAGTCCAACACTGAACTCCGTTTGAATCACCGTGATTTGTGAATCACTGTCAGAACAGTTGCTCAATAACAGCTGAACTTATCA